AAAAATTTTGATTGTTAATTTTTTTAATTTTTATGAGTTTTAAATTATAAAAAGTGTTAACTTACAATAAAAACTTTCAAGATATTACTCACAAAATTCAAAATAATGTGTAAGACACAGATAGCGGATTTAGCCAATTGGATATTGGAGTTTGGAAGATTTTGAGGGTATGGAGGAGAGAATTGAGGTTACAAAGCCCCAGGCCCTAATGGTAATGGGTATAAATTTCTCTCCTGGGCAAAAAGAGAAAACCTGCCAACAGCCAAACACATCTAAGGAAAATTATAGGAAGCTAACTCATAAAAGAAGTTTTGGTACAAAAGAAAATTTTAAATATAATATCTGGAAGTCATTTATACTTCAAAGTTTTTTTCGTTTAGGTTCTATAAATCCATCCATGCTCATCTCTAAATTTCAGCATCTTTTTCAAAGAAGTCCCACCCATCTTCAAATAGCTCTTTGCGATCAGCTCCATCTTTATCCACTTCTGGTCTGTCTTTTGGTGATTGACCGTCGACAGATGGTGTAGGACTGATCTTCTCTGGTTCACTTGCCACACTTTTTGCAGAAGAGCCAGAAGAGGCTAAGATGCAACTGGTTTGGCTTGATGATATAGATTTGCTTAATGGAACACGTTCATCAAACTTCTGTTTCAGCAACCTCACATCCTGACAAATAACAGATATTTCTCCTCTGCAAAAGGATGACAAACAACATTTATTGTTTTCCACCCACAGCTATAACGCAAACAAAAAGCAGACAACAAATACAAGGCAACAAACAAACTGCTTGCAAAGAGAATATGGTTTCAACTCAAATCATGACATCGTGATCCTAAATCCATATTCTTCACCAAATAATGATTTTCTCATGGTCATTCAATAACCTAAATCGTAAAAAATATTACATGATCATTAGTCATTACTAGGATTGCAAAGATGGAATCAGCCAATAACTAACAAAAGCATCAGTGGATGACTGTCAGAATAACCAGGAAAGCTTTAGTAATTTATTTTAATCAACAGTTCCGTAGAACCTTAGACATGAGATGTGAAAAAGCAGAGCATGCTCGGGATACAAATCAATAGAAAAGAACAAGCAAGGAAGCTTACTGCAATGAATCAACAATCCGGCCACGGTCCATAAGAAACTCTCGCAACTGCAGTCAAAAACAAAATCCAAAAACAAAGTCAGCTAGAAATCAATGCTCTTCTTATTATTGTAATTATTATTATTATTTGCCCCTTGTTAAATCATCTGCCCACAAGTATTGAAAGCACAGAAAGAGTTGCTACCTTAGAGTTCTCCTCTGCCTCCTGCTGCAGAATCTTTGACTTTTGCACCATCTTCTCCATGATAGCTTCCTGTTGAGCAAGGGCATTTTGAGCAGATTCTTTCTTTTTCAGCTTTTCTTGTTCAGCTTCTTTCCTAGCCTCCTCTGCAATAGCTTGTCGTGCCTCAAGGGTTTGACGCATCTATGTAAGTGCATACAAGTTTAACTTGTATTCCCTTCACAATCTAAAATTTATCTACTTTGTTGTTCTTGTATATCGTAGATAGTCAGGAATTATTCCGTGAATCATTTTCCATTGTACAATTAACTAAATGAAAGCTTAATGCAGTAAGTTATCTAGGATGATTTCAATGATGCCTTTTAACATCTCACTCATCTATCACAAATTTCACTTCAAGAAATTGCAGATGTATTTTCAGGAACACGAAACACAATGAAGGAAACAGAAATTGATTTGATACCAAAAATTACAAACAAAAGTTGCATATTATGAGACATGGAACTTAATATTTACCCAAAAAGATGCATGGGTCAATACATGTATGAGGCAATATGTCAAAAAAAGACAATGATCGCTTTATTTCTTTAATTACCTCATCAAGAATTGCAAGAGATTGATCCCTTTCTTCGGATAAGCTAAACAAACGACTTTGAAGCTCTCTTACTTCAGTAGCCAAAATGGCCTTTTCTCCATAGACTTCACCAGCATGCTAAAATAGAAATAACAACAGATGAGCTTTGACACCACTTAATCAAAGAATATTTATAGAACTATGTATTCTGCTTTGTATAATTTAAGTCAAATGTGGTTATTAATAATTATCCAACCATGTCATTTGCTTCATTTGCATGTGCAAGCATCTGTTTGAGTTCCTCCACCTTCACTAAAATATCCAAATCTCCCCTAGCAGCTTCTTCGTTTGCTTTTTCTGCAGCCTCCTCTTCAACTTCAACTTTTCTCATCAAGTCAATGACTGATTGCATGACTTGAAATAATGTTTTCTGCATTCAAATTAGAAACATAAGAAAGACAGCTAGGTCAAAATGAATACCTTAAATCATGTCCAATATTACCAAAACCTCACCATCATCATTCTGGATTAAAATCAACACTTTATATCATTACCTTGTTATTTTTAGCATCTTCAATGATCTCTTCAAGAATATCAATTCTACACATTTGGCTAGATCTAAATTGGGTATCAACAACATCCAAGTCAGGCTCATTGCCACTATCACCCATTTCATTGACAGGATCTTGCTGGGACAGTAGATCTTCCTCTACAGAATCATCTCCTTGATTTCTGGAATTAGTAGAACCAATTTCTACACGAACATCACTTTTTGGAGAATCTAGACTACATTCTTGAGCAGATGAAACCATTTGAGTTACAACAGTTTCAATGCCCAAAATGGAGGAAGCTAATGGGCTTTTTCTGCAAATAACAGCATCCAAATTGACAGACCTATCCAAACCTTGTGGATCATCGTTCGAACAGCAATTGGCACCACCACTCCCAAGTATCAGAACAGATTCATCACTTGAGGAGACTGAAAGATACAAGGGAGATTGCCCAGTGCTATAAGTGTTGTTGATCGCTTGGGTTTTATCCAAAGAACCAAGCCCCTGGGATTCAAGATTAACACTTACTTGAGACTGGTTGGAATTCTCAGAGTCTTCATCCACATCCTTTGCATCAAACCTGACCTGGATAATCTTGCTTGTACCAACTTCAGCATTTTTTCCTGGAGACTTTCCCAACAATATCAATTCCTCACCATCAGTATCTGCAGATTCATTGTTACCACTATCTTTTCCAGGAAAATTCGAAACAGCAGATGCTTGCAACTCAACTGAATCAGCAATCATGGCAGAAATCATGCGCCCTGTGTTTGGCTTTTCATGTATTTCTAACATTGACACTACAGAAGATTCACTTTTACCACCATCTTTAGTAGGAAAGTTTGAGGCTGCAGATATTTGTGACTCAACTAAATCAGCATTCCAGGCGGAACCTCTGATCCCAGTATTTGGAACATTTTCATGTTCTTCCAACATTGAAACTGAAGAAGAGCATGCATTCCCCCCTGACCGTCGGACTCTTAACTGACTGCTCTCCTCCTCACTTGAATCTGCATTTTCAAAGTCCCACTTATAGCGTCAAAGACTAAAACAATCAATTCAATAATATAACAAAAAATTACCACAAAGATAAACTACCAAAAACAAAAAAGCCTTTCCCAATATTTAGTCCATGTAATTTAAATAAGTGCATGTGAAACAGCTAAAACATAAGGCATGTTATGCCATCAAGTTTAGATCTTCAAAAAATTACCTCCATCATCTAATTGAACAATAGGGGTCTGCTTCTGCAAGGGAGAAGTTGTGGTGGGATTTTGTGACAAGTAAGGAAGAATCTCAGAAAGAATAGTCTCTGCTGCTGCATCGACATCCTTGGAGTTCTCAATAGCAACAGCCTTCAGGATTCTCTTGTCAACCTATTCAGATTGAGATTAAAAAAATCATGGTTTTAGATACTTTGAATTACTTAAAAAAAAAAGAAAAAAAGAAGCCCAAATAGCCTGAGAACTGAGACTAAGCTTACACATACCTGAGGAAACAAATCCAACAAGCACTGATAGACTTTGTTAAAACCCATGATGGAAAGCTCTTGTCCTTCAAACTAGAAAAAAGAAAAAAAAAGAACCATTTAAAATGGCACATAAAATTAAAAATTCAATCTTGCAAACAAAGAGCAAACTTTCTAAATGAAAATTCACAATTCTAATAAATTTAAATACTTATAAACACCCATAAAAAAAAAAAAAAAAAAAAACATATAAACACAACTCGTTATCAAATTCTGCTCAAATGATTCAGGAAACAAACCCACAATTTTCCAATGAAGAAAACTACAACAATTTTCTTCCGAGATGCAAAATTCAAAGAATAATTAACAATCAATGAACAAAACATGGTAAAAGCAAAGGGATTGAGAATAAAAAAACCCTAGTATTACGATCAAGAACGGAAGATAAATTGATAATTTTCCCGACTTCCCTTAGCAAAATTAAAAGAAAATAACCTCGCCGGCGATTTCTTGACCGGATAATGCTAACGGAAACAAAAGCTGACCTTAGGAACGTAGAGAGTGTACGTCGAGAGAAAGAAAGGTAGGACGCAGTGTTAGCTCCGGAGTGGAAGGGAAGAGCCGATTGACC